AGAGACATCAGCAGGTCACTGGCAAATTGAAAATGATGAGTTAGCAAAATGGTTTTAGTCAGTGACAGTATAACCAATGTCAGAATTTCAGATGGAGGGCAGAGATCTATGCAGCTCTGTGGGAGATGTACTGTTTAGTTGTGTTTGTTTCTTTGTTTGTTTAAGAATTATCAAAATTTATTTGCTAGAGGCTGGCTCCACAAACTTGCCAAGTTAATCTCATGGCATTAAAAGTCTTAGAATGCTGCCTCATCAAAAACATACCTGGAGTTGTGTTTTGTTTCATTCACACATGGTTGAGTAATCCTGCATTATTAGTCTGTTCACCTCTCCAAAGCTCCTAATGCCCTGTTCCACCTTGTGATGTCATTTGCTGGTAATTTTCAAGTTAACAACTACCTCTTATCTTTAGTTCAGTAGGGATTGGTAATGTCAGTGCTGAAATTAAGATGTACATTAAGTAATACACTTCCTGTATTACCACATGACTTCACAAGGTGGACCACTGAACAAAATGTTTTGTGTTTGAGAGACGTACTCCAAAGCCTAAAGAAGCAGGACTTGTGTGTTAAACATGTGTGAATGAAACTAAACTCAACTCCCAAAATGTTTTTGATGAGGAAACAACATTATAACAGAGATCAGAAAATAGTATAATAGAGCTTTTAAGTTCTTTCAACGGAAAACAATCTTTGGGGTTGAATAATGACACCACTTGCTAAAGCTATTCTGAAAAAATATTAATGGCAAAAAGACAAATCATATCACAATTACAATGAATACAACATAGGGCTACTGTACATTTTCTGCAATTGACAATCAGAGTTCAAATCTGTGAAGAATCTAACTTGACACGGTAAGAATGCATATTTATTGTTGAGCCGTAAAACACATAGATGAATAAATAACAGTTAAAACAGTTAATGCCATATTATGGAACATCTATGTAAAGCAAACACATCTCTAAGGAACTTTACATTGGGCATAAGTAAAGCACATTTAATATTTTATGTTTCAATTTCTTACATGAATACATAGTGCTCATATATAATCCTTCAATCAGCATAAAGCCTGCTTCAATAAATTAACTTCTCCTACAGGTCAATGTTGCACAACCATTCATTTAAGCTTTTAATAAAATCGTTTTTAAAAAATGAAGAATGAAAAAGCATATTTTTCTAATATTTTGAACATTTTCTGAAACATTCCTTTGCAAGTAGACAAGAAAGCATCAGGCTGTCTAACAGAAAATGATGAATAGCGTGTGTTTGGTGTACAAGGCCAGTTGCACAAAGAGATCATTTAGTCTGCAGCTATTACAACATTCTTTGCACGATCCAGTAGATAATATTTTTCAACTCAACCTTATTCCGTCAAAAGTAAATCTTTACCAACATGTACTTCCAGTTTGTCTTGCTTAGTTTCTGCTCCTAACCACCCAAAGGAACATAAAAAAACTAAAAAAGTTGCCTCCTCATGAAAATATTGGTTTGAACAAGTGTTGAGTGCAGAGACCGCCCACACAGCCACACAGCAGCCCACAGGTTTAAAAATAAATCACTTTTTGACACGATAAAGTTTGGTATGAAGTCATTATATACAGTAGACAACACAAACTATTTGTATAAGAGCCAGCTTTGACAACTTTAACTTTTCTGATCCACCACCTGCTTGTCTCCCTGGAGAAGTTATTACTTTGCCTGGAATCTTCCACAGTATGTCATCAAACCTATATATCTTGAATTTATTCAATTACAGGTGTACTTATCTCTCAAAAACACATAGGAAAAATTCTTACTGTGAGCTGGTTCATAAGTTGAGTGCTATAGACTATGGAACATTTCAGGCAAAGCAGTAATGTCTCCAGATGGCCCCTTCTGAACCCTCCAGCAGAAAAATTACTCAGTTTACCTTTATGTGACAAAAATAAAATATTATACAAGTTACAGCTAAATCTAATTGAATCGGGAGTTGGCAAAACATACAAACTGACAACAAAACATCTCTCCATGGGGTCTTATTGTGTAAAAACCTGCTTATGTAGTTTACACCTCTACAAACAAAGCAACTTTAGCAGTTCATAATTCTTCATTTTCTTCTCTAATTCAATTCTACTCTAATTTGAAAAAGTCACTGGAAATATTTTTAGCTTACGTCATTTCTCAGTGGTCATTTTAAATACAATTCAGCACTAAATGTAGCTGATAGCACACATGCATTAACATATGTGTTTTCAGGTCAGCCCTGTGTCTCTTTGACTATTTGTGATAATCAGCTTCAACTGGGTCGCCGTCATGATGTCAGTTGTAGAGGAAGTGGTTAAAACCCAGTAAAAGTCAGATCAGATATGTGTTGTGAGAATTTTATTTCAAGTTTAATATATCGTGAAGGATTTGAAAGTCACAGTTCAGTCCAAAATATTGTTGAAAGTGGGCCACAATTTAATGAACAAGAAACGTAAGCAAGTTGAGAACTGCTGATAACATGTATTTTATTTATTCATTTATTTATTTATTTATTTATTTATTTTAGAAAATGCATTAAACATAAATTTTGACTCAAAGACTGGGCTCAGCACTTCTTGGTTTATTTCAGATTCTACAGTGAGATATTATATTACTCAAGGGAGCAGAAAGAAATGTATCCTTATTGATTATGGTACAAGGTTTTTTCATTTGCAATAAAGTGCACTTTCTGTTTCACAACAAAATCTGAATAATTAGATCTGACCTATACTGAAAAATGTACAATACTGCAAATGCCATTCTGGAAATATTCAAAATTACAACATACAGACAAACATTCATACAAAACAAAAAAAGTGCTGATTAAAATAAACAGACCCATTCATGTTTTGTCCTACACTTGAGCCTCAAACTCAACAATACAGGCATATTTAAGCACATTTCCGGTGCGTAGTCTCCATTATACTTTATGGGGCTATAGAATGTTGCGATGTTATCAGAATGGGGCAGTTTGGGCTGTGGAGATGAGGAGCAGATGTTGGGTGTCACCTGGGCCACTACACCTGCTGTGAACTCACTAAGCGCCGTGGCAACAGGTCAATTACACTTTACCCTCACCTAAGATTAAGATGGAGCCACGCCAATTTCATATCTGCTGGTTTTCATAGCAGTTATTTAAACTATGTATTTTTATGTAGAGTGGAGACTAGAATGAAGCTGCTGGCTTAAGCATGTGCAAAATAAACAGACTCTCTGGCAACAAATCAGCCATTTACCCTTACACATGTTTTATTAAGTGCATTGAGCATCTTTTCTGGTGGACGGTCCGTCACCTGCTTGTCTTTATGGGGATTGCTTTGTCTAGAATGTTCCACGGTAGAGATTAAACCTATCTATCACCAGGGAGACAACTATAGGCTACATTACAGCGAGAGAGAGAGAATTATTTTATTTTGGAGCAATAGAAACACCTGTAATGAATAAATGTTAGATAGATGTGTTTAATGTCAAAATGGAGCATTCCAGTTAAAGCAATAACATCTCCATAGAGAAAAGCAGGTGATGAGGCCTCCACCAGAAATGTTGCACAATGCATTTTTAAGAACATTTGTAAGTAGAATGTCTCATATATTAGACATTTGTCATGTTATTAAATTTAGATTTTAAAGGGAATGCTTGATACTAGCTCAATTCCCATACCACAATGATAATAAAAGCACACACTATTTATATTATAGTCTGTAATTTTGCACACAATCACAAGTTCTCAAACTTTTCACACCAAGCACCACTTCAGAATAAATTTGGCTTTCTGGGTACCACCAGGTCTGGACCATTTAGGTCTAAATTCGGGCTAACTCAGGTGTAAAATTGGACAACACTACCACATTGCTGCAGCAGTTTTGACCGTGAAACTACCTAAAATGAAGAAAATATTGGAACTATCTGTACGATTAGAAGGAGCTGTACCACAGTTTGAGAAGCACTGGTTGAGCGTGTTGTGTTAGAACAGTAAAGCCATTCTAAAACTATTCAGGAACTATGCAACTTTCTTCATTTGCATGAATTTCTTCTCAGTACTGATACCTCCTGAAATGATACTTCTACTTTTTGAGAACCTTATAAGACCCACAACTAGTTTGCTTTTAAGGTATAAGAGCATGAGCTAAAACAACCTAAAAGCATGCTGTATTTTAAAGTCTAACTAAGCTGAATCTAAATTTGACATTTTCGCAAGCTTAGAGGCAATTCTTTAAAGCCATTCACTAAGAAGCACTTCACTTCAACTTCACAAACTTCCTCTGATTCCTCCGCTGTCTTATCCAAAGCGTTTCTATTTTCTAACCTTCTTCTCACACTCCAGCTCCCTCTCTCTCTCTCTTCCTCCTTCCCTCATGACTTTTTTCTCACAAGCGCTACACAAAACACTAAATTACACACATACACACACACATTCAAAAAGTGCCACATTGGTTGTCAAGACAATGGAGCGAATCCCGGTGACGTCACAACATCAGCTCTGAATGAGAAATAAAGCTCTCTCATAAATGTAATTTTCTTTTTGTGTATTTACTGACTTGCTTATCTGTTAACATTGTATTGTCAATCAAACAAACTCCTCCTTGCTCTGTAAAGTACTTTGAATTACTTTGTGTAGGAATTCTGGGTCACAATTTATAACAAGCATACTTTAATTAGCCTTAATGAAGCATGAAGACTATCTATCTACCTTAAACTTAAAGTACTTCATTAAACCCTAACCCCTTAGTTATGGAGCCTGAAGCTTTGTTAAGAAACAAATTTGTTCATTAGGATGCTTCCTTCATGCTTGATTAAGACTATAAATAATGTAGTTATTATAAAGTATTAGCGGATCCTGCCACAATGAATTCCCCTTTCGCTTTGCCTCTCTCCTGTTTCCATGGAGGACTTGCATTGGATAGCTAAGAATCAAGCAGTGAATGTGACATGGTTTAAGATGTATTTGTTCAGACTCTTCCTCTCCTCGCATGCAAAAACTCCACTGACACTTACCTATAGTGATGTTGAACCCGTCTATACTGAAGGTGGCACTCCTCCCTTTCCTAAAACGATGCTTCCTCGCCTCCATGGCTCAAGGTCCCTCCGTAGTTCTCCTTTTCAAACCCTCTTCTTCTTCTCCTCCTCTTTTGTTTTGGCTTCAGTCAACTCTCGCAACTCGGAAAAAAAAAAAAAAAAAAAAGCCAGAGGACTCGCGGCGCAACTCCAAAGATCGTCCCTCTCTCACTCTCCTCCACTCGGTCTTTTGTTCAACATAGCTTTTCCTTTCACACCTCAACTAGCTCATTTCAAACGCCTTATGGCACTTGATTTGTTTTTCTTCTGGCTTGTCTGTACGCGGCTCCCTTCCTCTCCTCCTTCCTTCCTCCCTCCCTCCCTCCCTCTCTCTCTCCGCTCGTGTTCTTGCTTTCTCTACAGTAGGTGTGTGGTGGGTGGCTGTGGCGCTACACATCTCCATAGGTTTTTTAAACAAACGCCACTCCTCCTAAAGCGATTTATAGGCTACGAATGTTAGAAAGTGGTTTTCAAAATGTAATGTACGAACTATAGAGGGCGCTCAAGAGCAGTTTGGATTGGATTTAAATTCAAGTTCATTTATTTCTGTTTTAAAGTTCAATTTGGCGATCAGTTTAAAGAGAACTTTTTAATTTTAGTCCTAGCTTTATCCTCTCCTTCTGTCCTGGTTTAGATCTGGTTTAGAGTAGAACTAATGTAGACTCATGGGTTAATTGTTGCTTACTCCTTTAGTCTTGGTTTGCATGTTATTTTATCCTAAATTTGTCTGATTTAGTCCTGACTTAGAACTACATCTTAACCATTTGTACTTTAATCATCACCTATAGTCCTGGCTTAATTAAAAAAGGGGATATTATGTAAAACTGATTTTTTTTTTAATTTTTTTTTTTTTTTTTTAGCTTTCTACCATGTTATAAGGCTGTTCCCTCAACAAAAGCATTCCTGAAGAGGTTTTCGATGTCATCCATGCACACTTATGTATTACCCTATTCAAACCCTCATTACAGTGGTAAGATTCTGTCCAGTGCTCAGCCCTCAAGCCTATGGCACTCATGCTCCCACAAGACTATTCTCCATAAATATACAAAAGCATGATATAAAACTATACACAGCAATTTCACAAACATAATGTAGGATGCACGATTACTGTGTTGTGATAGTGCTCTGAAGGGGGAGTGACTTAACGCAGAAAGCAAAGGGAGGGGAGACTCAGTGTCAAAAACGAAACTGAAACCTAGAAAACATGTTCATGTTTTGGGCAAAAAAAACATTTTCAAAACAATAAAATGTAACATGGTGATCTAAATATGTTATGTCTTCACAGTTAATACCCAAAAGAAGTAAAATACCCATATTTAAATCCTGGTTTAGCCTGGTTCATAAATCTAGACAAAACCTGAGGATGTGTTCACATTTGCACATTCAATATATTAAAATTGTATTGAAAGTAAAGCTGAACCTAAACCTGGACTAGATCAAGAGAAAATAAGGACTAGAACAGGATCAAAGCAAGTCCACATCATGTCTAAAATGAGCTCAGTTTAAAACCAAATGCACACTTAGTCCTGGTTTAATCCTGGTAGGACCTAGTGTAATCCTGGTTCAATCCTGACTGGGTTATTGTTTTGTGGTGTTTAATCTTCATTGAATTCCTTTCATTTTAGTTCTATAAAGATACAGTTTTTAAATGCATTATCCATTTTAAATCCATCCAACATTTTCAGGTGCAGTTGGTGTTAGAAATGCTGGACACCACTGGTCTAACACCTGTATTGAACTGTTTTTGGTCTATTCACTGTCACTTTGCCTAAGCAAGGAAATAGTGAAAGGTTGCAGATAGAGGGACACAGATGATTGCCTGTATTGAGCTCAAACTAGTCATTAAATCAATGCCAATGCTTTTCATTTGCTCAAGTTACTTCCACAGGAAACGGGCCCAGTCCAGAGCAGCAGAGAGCTCTGGGAAAAAGCAAAGCCATCTTCTGCATTATTAAAGCAATGGTATTTTTGACACAAAGTGGTTTCCCTTTTCTACTTTTACTTTTCATGGAATTGAGTGTTTTATGTGGTCACTGTATCTGCTACAGTGAGAAAGTTAAAAAGGTAAGATTACTTTATTTTGTCATCCCTTAAAGGCCCTGTACCTGATATTTACTGTTTCAATTATTCCTCGTTTACCTTATGCATTCCAAGCATCTAATTATTCATTTATCTTTATAACCAGTTTTCATGACTTTCAGAGACCAGTGTGGAGTTTTGTCATGATAGTAATGCTAACAACAACTAGCATGCGAATGTGCACCTCCAGATTATGAGACAATAAATGTTCCAGCTTGTTTTCACAGAGAAGTTATTGCTTTGTCTGGCATTTCCCACAGTATGACATTAAAACTATGCAGGAGAAGTAAGTCATCTTATAGTAATGCTTGTGTTTGTCAAGGTATTACATCTCCATGGAAACATGCAGCTAGGAGACATCCCTCCAGAAAAGTTACAAAGTGTACCTTTAAGTGTAAACATACTAAAATGATAATTTATACAAAAGATGTTTGCCAAATATAATACATATAGATTCACTTCCAGAGCAATTCCACGTAACAATTAATGGATTCATTTCACACTGCCCAATATTGCAATAATGTTAATGTCATGCAATGTAGATTTTTGACAAATGATGATACATTGTGTAACACAGAACCAATGTAATTAAATTAAGAAGAATGGCCATGAACAATAAGACAAAAGCACTAATATGTATTTCAAGCTGTAGCCAGATGATAGATACACCCCTTTTAATGATTAAGACTGCACTGGAACAGCTATCTCTTGTAAGTGAAATAATCAATGATCTAGCAGAAAACCATATATGCACTACAGTACTACTGTGCAGACCCTGCATACAACAGGTTCACAGTGTTTAGGAGGCTACACTGATTGAAGCAGCCACACAGCTCCCCCATTACAGAGCTTACAAAGGGCGCTATATTCATTCTTATCAATACAACATCCTCTTAAAGCCTATAGACACCGTTAACCTCGGCACACTCTCACACTAGCACACACATGCCTGATAAACAAAAGAAAAGCTCTCTTTATTAACATCATCTGACATTTAGAAGAAGGATTTTTTCATGTTTCAAATTCCCATCTGATTACTTTCTGTGAACGAGACTGAAGTTCTTTTTATATCTTAAAAAATCAATACATGGACTGAGAGGAGCACATAAAGATCATGAGTTAAAGGCACTGTACCTGATTTTTATTGGTCTTAAAAATGTGAAAAACTAAACTAGTAAATAATTGTAAATGGTCTGTAGGGTTTAAAGCTATTTTTCACTAACCTTATGCATTCCGAACAGATTATTATTCACCATGATGAGTTTACAAGCGCTTTCCACAACTCTCAGAGACTGGGACAGAGTTTTGCTTTGTCACTTCCTGATTAACAGACAATAAAACACAGCAGACATATTTTAACCTCAAAAAGACAGTATATCTATAAAGAAATCTGACCAAGATTGCATCATTTGAATATCATTTAGAGGCACTACTTACAAGCGCTGATGTGGCTGACAAGTTGACACGTAAGAAATTCTGACTCTGCAACATTGCTAACTTTCCTGGTAGCGCACAAGAAGAAATCAAACCTCAACTGATCAATACTGGACTGATTTGATCTATAAATAACACAATAAGAATGAGCTTGATACTCTAATCCAGATCTGCTAATCCATGGCTTTAAAGCTTTTTTTTTTTTTTTTCAAAATGATTAATATTGAAAGCATTGAGTTTGTTTTGAAATAAATTGTGATTGATCCATATAAAAAAAGAATTTGTGAGGCAAGCCAGTTTACAATAATGCTTATGTTTAATTCTTTGGTCATATCATCCAGAAGAAGAAGTGTCATTGTATTGTATGTATAAAATCAGTTTCATAAATGAATAAGAAATAGTGTATCTCTCGTATTGACAATATTACTAGCTACCCTGATCTGAGCCTGTGACATAATGAGTTTCAAGGACATGAACACAACAGATTAGCTCCAATGAACATTTATTGTATGACTTGTGGTTAAATCTAAACCTATTTCACCTTGGCAATGTAACACAATCCCTACAGTTCAGACATCTACTTATCTTCTCTTATACAAAACATGACTTTGCCAGAGAGCGACTGTAACCAAGGATACCACAGTTCTTCAGTTCCATGGTGAATATTGCAATGGCAGTATGACCCGCTATCGCAATGTTCCTTTTAGCATGTCTCTATTACCGGTCCACCCAGAATTCATTTAATAAGAAAATGGCTAAGACAAACTGTGACCGTTCAGTTCCCCTTAATGTAATTAGAGGTCATTATGTGCATCTTTTTGTCTATTTCATTTATTTCAGAGTTTGGAGGTGGTTAGTCCAGTAACTTGGATCCTTAAGGCAAGATACATTCTGTACAATATACATTTTTAGAAGACACAAAAAGTTCAAAACATGCATAAATTATCTGTAAAATGTAGTCAGTCTGGCTAGTCTTCCCTAGCCTGATTCATCTGCCGGTTTCACTTCATGGAAAACGGCTGACCTCACAGCATTAGAATTTGTTCGCTTGACGGTAGGCGGGTACTTTTTTAAAATTTAACTAATCGCTGCTATTTGGTCGTGATGTATGTAATGTGCCACTAACGGGGCTAACTGGTATATTAAGCTTTTCCCAAATCCCGTAGGAAGAAGGGCAATAACGTCTTTCCCCTTGATAAAATTTACTTTATTCCGGCTTTAAATCCTCGATCTCGGGAAACATTGCCAACACTGAATGTATGGCTCTTTGCTGATTGGCTGGTGCCCAGACTCGCACTTCCGGTGTTCTTGCGAACCGTCTAGTGTATTCTGATTCCTGACCTAGTCACTGGAGAGAAATGAAATTGAGCGGAGGCACCAGGTGGCCCCAGCCTGGCTAAGTCTTCCCTGGCACAATATGACAATATAGTAATATGATGGAAATACTGTACTTGTACATGGGCTTCTAGGTTGCATATGCCCATTTAAGTATGTCATTCCATGTGTACAGTTTTCATTCTGGGTTAGAGCTAGATTAAATCACATTATTCTAT